GAGGTTAGAGAGATGGTGGAGCCGACGATGGGAGGAAGCACGATGGTGGCGGCAAGGGCTACGACTGAGGATGGAGTCGACGAGGTCGAGGGGAGGCGGAGGTGGCTGAGGTGGCAGGGGTGTTAGAGGTTCCCAGCGAGGTTAGAGAGAAGGTGGAAGAGGAGATAGGAGGAGAAGGAGAAGATCTAAAGAAGAAGAAGAGGGGTAGTTTGGGGTTTTTTTTGGGATTTTTCTCTTAAGAATTGTAATAGGGCTGAATCACATTAACTTTTTATTTTTAGGGCTAATACTAGGGGTGAGCACGGTTCAGTTCGGGTCGGTTTTTACCAAAATTTGAACAACCGAACCGAACCACCTACAATTCAAAACTGAACCGAACCATTACAAATCGGTTCGGTTCGGTTTGTTCGGTTCTAACTTCATCAAGTATAACTTGACTTTAATTTATCTTTTATATATTATTATTACCCTATGCCAGCATGTATTTGTTTTTTTTACTTCACTTCAATTTATTATTCTTGCTCATGTATGTATACTGTTTTTAAGTGAAGTAACTTGTCCTTTTGGATTAAATACTAGACTCTGACGTTGTAATTTTTTTAGTAACGGACTTGCTTTGTCTTTGTGCAGCAAGCTTTGACTTCGGTCTTTGTGGAGACAAAAAAAGGAGCTCACTCATTAGAACATTGGTTATGTATGAATCAATTCCCTGTAACTGCTATTCAAGGTGATCGAACATAGCAGTAAACCCACAAATCAAAGGCACAAATATATTCGGTTGGTTCGGGTCGGGTCAGTTTGAAAAATTATCAACCCGACCCGAACCGCCTGAACATAGCAGTAAACCCACAAATCAAAGGCACAAATATATTCGGTTGGTTCGGGTCGGGTCAGTTTGAAAAATTATCACCCCGACCCGAACCGCCTTACTCATAAAACCGATTTTTTCGGGTCGATTCGGGTCGGTTCGGTCGGTTTTTTCGGTTTGAACCGAACCGTGCTCACCCCTAGTTTTAGGGTCTCCTATATATACCCCCTTATACCCAGCTCTATAACCAACTAAGAGAAAAGTTTTAAAGAGTTTTACAAGTTTGTTTAAGGATTTTACAAGTGTGTTTAAGAGTTTGGTTTGTAAAGAAATTTTCACAAGAGCTTGAGGAGATCATCCTTTGATGTTTGAGCATTCAACTCTTCTCCCTCTCTCTCTCTTGACATCATAGAGAAGTTTTTCTAAACTCATTCTAGCTATTTATTATTTTGATTATAATTCCCATAAGCTAGATTTATATTGAGTTTAGTTTTTTTTATTATACTATTTGTTCACACACAACCTATTGAGCTTATTGTATTTACATACATAGTATAATTTGGGGTTATGGGTTTGTGACTTAGAGAGTGAGCTTTCATTGTGTTCTCATCCATACTAGAGAATAAATTATTGTATTGAGCCTTCGTTGTGTAGATCACTTTGTAATACACTTGTACACCGAGAGGAGTGTGTGGGTAGAGACGGGGTCGTCCCAAGAGGAGTGGCGTCGGTAGTAAAACCTAGGGAGATGTTGTAAATCCGAGCACTTGAGGGAGACACGCGCTAGAGACCAACACTTAGAGGGTGTAGAGTGCGATTGCAAGAGTGTTGATTGTAAAGTTTTCGGTGAGCTAGAAAATCGAGTGTGAGGTGTAAACGTTTTCGGGTGAGCGTCGAAAACCCGGTGTGATAGTGGATTTCTCCTCGGGAGTGAGGAACAATGACGTAGGACAGAAAGTCCGAACTCCGTGATCATATTGCTTGTTTGTGTTTGCTTTGACGCATTCATTTTTGTGTTCCTCTTATATCGCCTATTGCATCTTGTTTATTTCATCCACTATATTGTTTGCCCTTGCTCGGTTTACTTATCATTGCATATATATCTTGTTACATGTCATATTTGATTAGCATAAGACTCTATTCACCCCTCTCTCTCTCTCTCTCTCTAGGGTTCTTTCCTAGTGGCATTAGAGTCTAACACGTGGGTCATCCACAAAATAAGGATAGTAGCTTGCGTGCATTTTAAATAAGCCTTCAATAGCCATTTGGTTGGTTTGATTTATATGGGTTCAAGAAAACTCACACCGACCCGAGCCGAAAGGAATATAAAATCAAAGCAAACTACCACAGTTCGGTTGGCTTGTTCGGTTTAAACCGAAGTTTGCTCAGGCCTGCTATTTGTGACTAAAAATGAATTTTGGTCTTCTGTTTTCATATTGTGCATACCAGTAACATATTTCCTACATCTGCTCCAGCAAAAGATTTGTTAAAAGAACATGACCCGCTAAATTAGATTATCATCCGAAGGATTTGCAAATGACTATCGAAGTCAAATTCAAGCATCACGCATCTCGTTGCAAAAGAGTGAAGAAAAGAATGATGCCAAGTATGCAAAATACATGACTTAAACCTACATAATATACGCAAGTGATACCGCTGAAAGAAAGAGAGAGAAAGTTCTATATTCTCATTGACTATATATGAAGAATAGGATATTAATACCCAATATTTATGCACTTTGCACAATATTAATCCCTACAAAAGTAAAACTCAGATAAAAAATATATATAATAGAGGAAAGTCCTAAACGGACACAAAAAAGATTTTGTGTCTCATTTGGCATCTACCAGTACCCTCTGTATGATTTTATACGGAAGAAGTTCTTTATGATTTTCCAAATAATTTTCCCCAAAATAACAGGGCAATATGTTCTATTTTCCTTTTTAGAAGCCATACTACCAAGTAATAATGCTAGATTGCCAGGCTGCCCAAAGAGAAGCAAACGATCAAGAACTCGAGTGATGACGTGAAGACGCCAATGGCTCATAGCCACACAAAATTATAAATCTCCATAAGCCCACCATATAGCCTGCACACCCTCATCATGGTCCATGCAATTGTCCTTATCAAAACCAAACAAGTTCTTCATTTTCCTATTTTGTTTATGATTAGTCTCAGCACTCAAACATCAGCAATGAGTTGTTTTGTGCAAAAACTATAAAAAAAACCTAAAGATAACGAATAATATATATTAAATTTGATATTTGATGAATGCTCGCTCAAGAACTTCCAACCCTGAAGTTCTGTTGCATCATGTTAATCATCTATGTAAAAATGTTTACATAAACACAATTATGCCGTTGAATTATCTACTAATTGTTCGAAGTGTTTGTATAAAAACTTACGAGTCTGGTTTAACAAAAGAAAAGAGATGAGATGAGATGAGATTCAACTCTGTATCGAAAGACAATTAGATGAGAATTTGGTTAGGTAAAGTATATTAAAACAGAAAAGAAGCATATCCATCTAACTAGAAAGCATCAGCAAGCTTTGAATAATCAAAGTACACATCATGACTCAATTTATTTACACGCAAAAACATTAAAACTTGAAGCACACCATACGGTCCCTCTCGCTTGAAGCATCAGCAAACTTGGGAGTAGGTACATCAATACTTAATTTACACGCTTGATGAATATCAAAGTACTTGATTACACCAGAGGAGCTAGTGGATACAAAAGGATCCAGAATTAACAAAAAGCCACACATTAATAATAAGATTATTGGGTAGGAAATAATCATGGCCTGCTCTTGAATGGGATAGCCCTGATGACTATCACGTGGTACATTGCAGCAAGGGCAGCTCCAATGAACGGCCCCACCCAGAAAATCCACTGCAATATGCGGTAACAAAAAAAATGTATTAATTAGAGCTAACCTTCAGTTAATTAGGATAATTAGTTGATTTAATTGTGAGATAATTAATTACATGGTCATCCCAAGCATGGTCTCTGTTGTAGGTTGCCGAACAAAATAATTTTGCTAATATTCACCTTCAGACAATAGGTAAACAAACAGATAGAATTGAAAATATGATTCTTGACATAAAGGAACCTCTTACTCGCCTAATGGTTATACCACCTTTTTCACCTCAGATTTTCACCAATATCAAATTAGGAAATAATAAACCCTTTAGATATATATATATATATATATATATATATAATTTTGCTAATATTCACCTTCAGACAATAGGTAAACAAACAGATAGAATTGAAAATATGATTCTTGACATAAAGGAACCTCTTACTCGCCTAATGGTTATACCACCTTTTTCACCTCAGATTTTCACCAATATCAAATTAGGAAATAATAAACCCTTTAGACTTGGTGAGCAAATGAGTGATCTTAATGAAGAATTGACTAAGAAATTAAAAGATAAAAGAAAATCACTTGCTATCAATGTCCTATCAGACCTTGAATCTCGGCTCGGTGAGACGTCTAATTATAAGTCAGATCATGATTTAACAAACCTTTAAAGATTCAGAATATAAACAAACATCCTTACTCTTCTAATAATACAAGAAATTACTATAAGAGACACACTCCTGCTGATATACAAGAAATTACTATACAAGTTTCGATAGAAATTCTCTAGTTGAATGGAATCTTGACGATTATATTGAATATCAAATAATACATCTTTTACAAGAAATGCTTATAGATGCCAATGCTTGTAGACAACAAGGTAATCCCGAAAAAGATATTGACAGTGGTTTATGTTCATCCTTTTCCGATCAATTGCAAGGTTGGTGGGATCGGTATCTTACTAAATCATAAAGACATAACATTCTAAATAATTATAAAAAACTTAACTAGGAGAATCAATTCTTAATAAGACAAGACAGGTTACTAATGATGTCGTTTACATCCTGCTTCTTGCCATATATCATCATTTTGTAGGTCTTGTCGACAAGCTTCAAGATAAAGTCAGAGAACAACTTATAAATTTTAGATGTAAAACTCTTACAGACTTTAAATGGTATAAAGATGTTTTTCTGTCAAAAATTTACCAACTGCATGATTGTAATAATCCCATTTGGAAAGAAAAATTCGTTTCTGGCATTCCACCATTATTTGCCGAAAAGGTTAGAGAATCTCCTAAAGAACAATGTAATGGTCGCATTCTCTATGATCAAATCTCATTTGGAGAATTAGTCCAAAAGATCAACACTGTTGGTTTAAAACTTTGCAATGATGTTAAAATCAAAAACCAACTAAAAAAATCAAAACCACTTAGGTAAAAGAGAATTAGGAGATTTTTGCTATCAGTATGGTTTTCAAATGGAAAATTCAAGAATAAAAAATAATCCAAAAAATTACTGAAGAACACAAAATCCTAGAAACAATAAAATAAAAAGAAAACCTCCTAAAAAGAACTTTAGAAAAAATGCAGCAAAAACTCCTACGTGTTATAAATGTAAAAAAGAAAGGATATTATGCTAACAAATATTTTCAAAATGACATAAAAAAAAGAAGGTTAATGAGTTAATATTAAAATCCAATAACTTTACTACGAAAGAAATTGAAAAACTTATTAATGCTCTAGATCTTAATTCTTCATCTAGTGATGAGTGTGATAATCTCTACACTTCTGATAAAGAAGATAGTTTTGATTCGTCTACAACATCTTCTAATAGTTCTTTTGAATTAAACACCCTTGATGAACATGAACAATTCATTCTTGAGACCAATAATACTATTATTGATCCTCAACAAAAAGGATTACAGTTAAAAAATATATCGAGATGACTAAAAAGAAAAGAAATGACTCTTCTACTTTAACATTTCAGACTAATAAAAAGGCTTCTATCGAAGATCTTAAAAGAGAACAAAGAGAAGTCAAATTTCAGCTTAAAAATCTTAAGCAAGAAATAAACATCTTAAAATCCCAGCCAAACAACATAGAATATTCTAATAGAATTAATACAATAGAAAAATACATTAAACAAAAGTGGAAATGTGAAATTATTCTCAAAATTCATTCTAGTTTTACTGTCAAAGATACTGCTTTAATAGATACTGGAGCAAATCTAAACTGTATTAGGGAAGGCATTGTTCCTTCTTAATACTTTGAAAAAACAACCTATGGAGTTAGTTCTTCAAGTGGTCAAAGTCTTAGCATTGAATATAAATTTTCTGATGTTCATGTTTGCAACCAAGGCTTATGTTTAAAAACATCATTTCTTTTGGTTAAAGATTTAAAACAATGTATTATTCTTGGTACCCCTTTCATTAATTTACTTAAACCTTTTTTCTGTAGATGATGAGGGACTCCATTTTTATAATAATGAGTTTAAGTATACCATTAAGTTTAACAACGCCCCTAAAGAAGCTTATCTTAATCAATTGATCTCTTCCTTATCTCATAAAGAAAAGTTCCTTCAAGATATTTCTGATGAAATCAAAATGGAAAAAATTGAAAGACAAATTAATAAAAACTAATTTACTAAAAGATTAAAACTATTTCATAAAAAACTTAAAAATGAAGTTTGTTCTGAGCTTCCTCATGCTTTTTTGTTTAGAAAAAAACATGTTGTTAACCTTCCTTATGAAAAGAATTTTTTTTGAAAATAAAATTCCTACCAAAGCTCACCCAAAACAAATGAGTCAACGACTTTTAGAAATATGTAAGCAAGAAATTTTCGATCTACAAAATAAAAGTTTGATCAGGCCCAGCTCTTCTCCTTGGAGTTGTGCAGCTTTTTATGTTGAAAATGTTGTCGAACTTGAAAGAGGCGATCCTAGATTAGTTATCAACTACAAACCTCTTAATAAAGTTTTACAATGGATTCGATATCCTATACCAAACAAGTAAGATTTAATCAAGCGATTACAATGAGCAAAATTATTTATTCCTACTTTATGAGTATAAACTAAGTTATAAGTGAGTTGGTGGAGATTTGTGTCTACTTTATGAGGATGGTGGGGATTGTCCCACATAAGCGACAAGGAGGAAAATCTCATCCTATGACAATGATACCCATTAATCATATATATATGGGAAAAATGAATCTAAGGTGACACCCTAGGCTCCCACCTAAGGACGCGGCCTAGAATCACATCATTTCCTAATTTTTTTTTTACGATCCGCTCCGTTAAAGTTGATCTACACGTTCTTAAACCCAAACACACCAATTTTGGGGTGAACCCGTCGTGTTTTGACCCTTTATCCACTCGCTATAATTTTAACGGTTTCGAATGAATAGAACTTTTTGCACGGCTCAACGAATGGTCAAAACACAACGGGTTCACCCTAAAATTAGTGTGTTTGGGTTTAAGAACATGTAGATCAAGTTCAACGGAGCCGATCGAAAAAAAAATTAGGAAATGATGTGATTATAGGTCGCATCCTTAGGTGGGAGCCTAGGGTATATATATATATATACTCAATATTCAATTCAAGGAAAATTGCTCAAGACTCTCTCTCTCTTTCTCTCATACTTTAACCTGCATTAAATTCTCAAACTAAAAAATTAACAATTCACGATATATGTACCTAGATACAACCTAGTTATCTTTGTCTCATCAAAATATCAAAATGTGAAGGTAAGTTGGGTCTCTATGAACCTCCGACATCGTAGAGTTATATTATATAAACTACACATCATTAACTTAATGACGTATAAACAATTGCTATTGGTTGCTAGTTAAAAAATGTAAAGTAATCCTAGACTCTCCATGTAGTCCTAAAGAGAACAATTCATCATATAGAATCCTAGCTGGGGCCATTAATAGAGGCAATAGTCCGTACAAGCCGCAATAATGGGGCCCATACACCATTCTTCGTCGATTTTTTTGAGCAAATAAACAAGGGAATCATTGGCGGGGTCACGTGATTGACTAATGAGATGCCAGCTAAGCACACCCCTAGCAAATGCCAAAAAGAAGTAAAGTGCACCGAAGAGTAAAATAGAGATTTTAATTTAATAGGCTGCAGAATACAATAATTGGTTTTCTTTTAATTTTTTATTTCGCATTTATTTTAAAGTTTACGTGTATTGTTTTTTTCACTTGTTTGATTGATTAATACCATATATTTATACTAATAATTTAGTTATTTATATTGATTTTACTGTTTATGTTGATGTTCTTTATTATTGTTAATATGATGGATATTAAATCACATCATATATGGGGTCTTCACTCTCATTGGTAGGAAGGCGTATTCGAACTTAAACTATTCTAATCTACCAAATAATTTTATCTAAAAAATATTTTATTTATAATCTCAAAATAAAAAAATTAACATAATAGTGGAAATGATTAAGATCTATTCAAAAAGAGCTATAGAAAATTGACGTGACGACTTTTGAATTTTTTATTAATAATGCATAGAATTGTGTAGAAAAGAGAAAATAAAGATATAAAATAAAATCAAAAAATTTTATTCATCACTAAATAAGTAAAATAACATACATATTAATAAATAAATTGAAAACTATAGCGAAATAATACTTATACCAAAGTTGATCATCCTTCACTTCAATGTGAATATGAAAAATTCTATTTTCAAATTTGTAACTTAGTTTAAGTAATTTTTTAATAAAACACTTTGTATCAATTTTCTTGAGACTACACTATTACAATTTCTATTTCTTATTTCACGTATATTATCCACGTGCAATTTAACTAGATAAAAGGACAAAAGACAAAAAAAATCATAATTATTTAAAAAACAAGATTAAAATTTTTAATAATTTAGGATAAATCAATAAACGGTACACAGGATCCAGTGTGTACGTGACTTTAACCAGATCACTCTTTTTGGACCATTCATAAATACACCCCGCCTTTTCTCCCTTTCACCACTCCGTTTCCATCCCCAATTTTTTAGTGTCCTTTTATAGAACAAAGAGAGCGTGCATGTACTAAAAAAGTGTTCCGTTATATCCACGTGTCACCTGGTCAACCGTCCATTAATTGAACCCGGCTTTCAGACAAACGTGAATCTAGCCGTCCATTCCACACTGAACGGAATATAAATCCCCGTTGCCGGAAATGGTTCCGTTCCGCCCTATTTCTCAAGTCAAAATCGGACTTCTCTTCTTCAATCAACAAGAATCAAGAATCTCTTCTTCTTGAATCAAAAATGGACGGCCCAGGAGGCTCCACGTCACCTAAAGCTACGGAGGCGGAGCACGACACCA